GATGCACTGCGCATGCCATCTGCCTTAAGTTGCACGACATCTCCCTCCCCCCAAAAGGCATAGAACCCCTCAGAATTACATCTGGCGAAATTATCAATCTTGAGTCGTGGGTGGTCCCCCAAMATCCCCACCCAACCAGTCCGCACCAATTAATATAGTTGTACGGGCTCTGTAAACGTTTTTGGCGGGAATTTTAGTCTCTTTGTATTTTCTTTGTTGATGACGTCCAGGATTTTTGCACTCTTTATTCGGCTGATTGATATGTGGACTGACGGGCGCATATTAATTGGGCGCCAGCCTCCCGTATCTCCCAAACCAGCGCCTCCCTTCCCGTATAACGAGGAAAGGACACGTGTCTGTGAGTGGGACGTACGAGAAGCTGTCGCACAAATCGGCGGAGGATATTATTTTCCTCCTAAAAATCGTTGTTTTGGGTTCGTGGACGCAAGCTTTGTCATTGTCGATACGCACTTCCCGCCTTACTCTGTGTTGTTGCCATTCAACAAGCTCATCGTCATTCCGTGGACGGCAGTAGCACCCCACTGGCCCAGAACTCTATGCTCTGAGTGCCGACGCTTCGATCGATACGAATCGAAGGGGTTCCACTATGGTATACGGAGTGAAGAAGAGCACAAGGAAAGATCCACCCGACTAAGACCGTCCACGTCGGACTCGGAACTAACCAACGAGCGATGTCGGGATTTGATAAGGAAGGGAGATACGCGGAGCGTGCCAAAACCTTTTCGCTCTAAACGACAGCCAGTGGCACCGTGGGAAGTTCGACAATACTTTCGAGATTGAATTCAAATTTTTCTCTTTTGGCGCCATGCCCGCGCGCGCATTACGCAACGCGCTGAGACAATCGACTTACTCCATCGGACCAACACGAGGGGATTTCAGTTCTGTCTGTGTCCCCACACTCAATTTTCCAAAAATCCTTGAGACACCCCCATTTGCTGATCTTTCGGGGCCAATTCCACCCCATCGTGCACTCCGAACGAAAGACAGCGCAGGGCGTGAGGTTGCGCGTCACATGCTTGAGGAGGATGAGGACTTATCCGACAAGACCCAGTTTAACCTCCCGATATCCACTTTCCATTTGTCTTTCGGAGAGCCATCCACCATSAGCTTGAATTGCCGYTTGCCCTTGCGTATGTGCTCCGAGACTCYGATTTCCACCCAATTGTCATCGTCCCGGAGKGATGGTTCTCCAGGCTGTTTTATCAGAAATGTTMTGCCCCTGGTCCAAACTGAGGTTGTTGAGGGAGGCGACTCAATCCGATAAATTGAGCCCTTGCAGTCTTCCTTCCTCCACCATGATCCTGCTGGTTTGCCGCCGTTATCTTTCTTGATTACCTGAATCCACTCATCAGGTATAGCCTGGGTTAACAGAGTTCTGTTCTGCTTTATGTTGCGAAGACCTCTCAGTTTGCTTCTCAGTTCTTCTGTTGTCCTCCACTGGCCCATTTCTTCGTCCCAAAGATGTCGGATTTGCCATACGCCTTTCTGTAGCCACTTCCTTGCCAAATTGCCAGCCTGAGTTTTTTCAGGTACAGAGAAGGGTGTGTCGTCAGCGTCAGTAATAGATGGGTTATCATATAGGCACGTGTGGAGGATCTCTCTTTTAGTAGAGGGATTGGATATGGTGTACAGGAGTATCCTACTCCATGCTGAATGGGCGCCCAGGTAGGGGATTTGACCGAAGTGATTAAGGGGTGGATAAGGATGGCTTGCCATACTCTTTCCGGATCAGACAGGTTCCAATCTTTGGTACATCCTCTCCATTAGGGCACTGAATCCGAAGTCCGCCAGACTCATCAGACAACTTATCACCCGGTACATATGGAAAGGGGACTCAGGGGTCGAATCGTGCATCAGTAAAGTAGCTTGGTGGAAACTGACTGAAAAAAGAACCCAGGGTGGCCTAGGAATCCTGGATCCGGAAAAACGATGCCCTGCTGGCCAAATGGCCGGTGAGGCTTCTCACGTCCCAGTGCACTCAACCATGGATGATCCTAGCACAGGCCTTGCTGTGCAAAGTAATTTTTTTTTGGCTAACATCCGTTACACTCGGTGGTTACGTACCCCCCTCCCAACCATATATATGAAAAGACAAAATAATAAATCTATTTGTTGTGCCATGTGCATGTCCCTCCGTGTGCACTTGCCTCCAATTTCGGCCACATTCGAACTTTGGTTTTGAAAGCTACTATTTTGCACTGTGCCATTGGCCTCAGGCTCTCCCGTCGGATTTCCTAAACAAGAAGGGCTGTCGCATGTGGAAACAGATGGGACTGTCCTTGCTGTCTTCGTTTTCCCTCCTGCTCGTCCCTGTACTTTCCGTTTCGTTATGTGCTCTGCCAGTGCTGCCTGTGTCCAGCCTTTCGACATCGCATACGGGCAGCATATGAATGCTCTTTGTTGACGCCATCGCCGTACACCGTAACGGTGCATTGCCAAACACCTTTCTTCAACTCCCCTTTGTTGCTGGAAGGCAACCGGCGCATGACCCCGCGGGACTGTCCTGTATTGAGGACTGGGGCTACACAGAGTTCCAATATGGTACTCCCCATGCTGTCGATGCCCAAGGTCCCGTCCCTGGGCCCGAACCTGTCAGGTAACCCCGTGCTAATCTCGGGGAGGTTTGTGCCATGTCCATGGCCGAAACTGAAGCCTGTGGGAATGACATGTTGGGCACCCAGGTCCCCATGTCCCAGTCCTTCGGGACAATGGGCCGTCCCAGCTGTCACAGCGGGCCCATCTGAGGATGGGCCTCTCCTTGTCCAACGTCTGATGTGACACTGCCGCCTCCTCTATCATCTCCACGAACTCCCGTTTCTGGATTAAGTTATGTGGTGAGTGGATGAGATGAAAACTCTCTCAGGCAGCAGCTTAGGATGTGTGCTATAGCCATGGCGGAGGGGCAGCCACAGGATGCGTTTGTGGTAGGCTGTGGGCAGGTTCTGCATCAGTCTCCTCATGTGTCGGAGGCATCACGCACTGTCAGCCCCGCAACATCACCTCTTACATCGATCAACTGCGGCGTAGAGCCTTCCCGATCGTTCAATCGTGGAAGCTCCACCCCTCCACCTGTGTTGCCTCGCCCAGGGGTGAGAGACAAAGCGACACCGCAGTCAGGGAGCTCCAATGTCCATTCAAGTGTGCATCACAGTCCAGGATCAGATTACATCATCAACCGTCTTGTTCGTGACATAGAAGCCGGGGTCTTTCCCACGGACGGTCCTGTGGGGGTTGGTGGCGGTGGGAGTCACAATCCGACTGCAGCCGCACGCTTGTCTCCACGCCCCCCGACACCAGGCAGTGACAACGTCAATGTGGCGATCCCGGTCACCGGGGTGGGTGGTTCATCGAACAGTCCGACCAACGTTGCAGGAGGTGGCGGTTCATCTGCTGGGGAGCGTGCGGAGCGAGGATGTGTGAGACCGCCGGACACACCAAAGAACACGAACAAGTGGGGGGGGGGGGGGGGCACGGTGCTTTGCCAAGCACGCAATGAGGTGAAGACACTTCTTGGTGAGGAAACGGAGGCGATGGGAATGGGTCGCACAAAGGCCGGTTTTGGAAGGTCGTTGAAGATCGGATGCGGGAAAGAGGATACAATCGCGATGACGGTCAGTGCAACGGCGAGAAGAGGGCAACCACGGGGCTGACGGGGGCGGTGAGAAGGAGGGTGTTAGCGAGGACGTGGGTGGAGGATCCCAAAGCGGCACCCCAGCCTCTCGGTCGACTGCATTCAAAGCCACCCTTGGGAAATGCAAAAGGACAAATTTGAATGCTCGTGAAACAAGCATGAAGGCTGTGACGGGGGCGATGCGTGACCACACGGTTGTGGTCACACGGTCTGACCGTGAGTGCGCTAGGATGAGATGTGATGCAACTCGTGGCGTTGCACTGAAACAGTTGGAAGTCCACAGAAAAACTGTGGACAAGGATATCGCAGCCCGTGAGAGGGTTGCTACCATTGGCTTTGATAAGATGGAGAAAGGCTATGTCATCCTCACCGACGCCATTCGTAGCCTGCACGAACCTGGACCGACGCTCCCGTCGAACGAATCGCAGACATCCAGTTCGGAATAGCGACAGTATTGTTGTGAATTGTGTTCCACCATCTGCACATAGATCTGTGCATCAGGCTGCCAATTTTATGAATGTCCTTCATCTGCTAAGTTGGATGGGTGTCCACGGTGGGACGTCAGTTTGTAGAACCTGCGGTGCTGTGTCCGTCGCATTTTTTGGTAGACGGATTGTACACATTGTCCTTTTGTCGCAGCTATGGTGTGGAGGTTTTTTTTTTTTTTTTTTTTTGATGATGTGAGTCGAATGGATGTCCATGGTGGGAAATCTGTGGTCAAAACGTTGTCATGCTGAAGGATGTTTGCTTCATGACTCT